TGAGAAAGGTTAGAGCAAGGAAGTTACAGACTTAGTGGAAGAGGATCAACCAGGACAGGGAATACTTAAGTAAACCAGGTACATATAAATAGGCCCTGATGGGATGCACCCAGCAGTGCTGAGGGACCTGGCAGATTTCACTTTGAGGCCACTCTTGATAATCTTAGGTTGATCAATGGGAGAAGTGCCAGAAAACTGGAGGAAAGCAAGTGTCACCTTGATCTTCAAGAAGGGCAACAAAGAGGACCAAGGGAACCATAGGCTAGTCAGCCTAACTGGGATCCCTGGGAAGGTGATGGAGCACCTAATCCTGGAAACCATTTACAGACACATCAAGGATGAGAAAATAATGAGGAGTAGAAAGCATGGATTCACCAAGAGGAAGTCATGCTTGACACACTTCCTGTGTAATCTACTGTAGGTGATCCTGCTGTAGCAGTGGGGTTAGACTAGATGATTTTCAGATGTCCCTTCCAACTCTGACGACTCTATGACCAAATTAATAAACTTCTACAATGGACCGACCGACTGAGTAGATGAGGAGAGAGCAGTGGTATTTTTTACCTAGAATTCAGTAAGACCTCCAACAAGATCCTTATAGAGAAGCTGTTGGTGCACAGGGTGTATGAGCATTCAGCAAGGTGAATGGAAGAGAGGATGAGTTGCTGGCCACAGAGCGTGGTGACCAGTGGTCAAAAGTCTAGTTGGAGGCCAGACTAGATGAGCATATACCTCAGCGATCAATACCCATCCAGTCCAGTTTAACATCTTCATTAATGACCTGGATGATGGGGCAGAGTGCACCCTCTGTAAGTTTAAAAATTACACCAAACTAGGAACAGTGGCTAACACACCAGAGTGTTATGTGGCTATCCAGATGGCATGGAGAAATGGGCTGACAGGAACCCCATGAAGTTCAACAAGGGGAATTACAGAGTCCTGCACCTGTGGAGAACAACACTATGCACAAATAAAAGCAGCTTGGCAAAAAAGGACACAGGTATCCTGGTAGCCACCAGGTCGATCAGGTGTAATGCATCTTTACTGCAAAGAAGGCTAACAGTATCCTCAGGTACATTAGACAGAGTATTGACAGCAGGATGATGAAAGTGATCCTTGCCCTTTATTTAGCACTGGGGAGGCTATACATGGAGTTCTATGTACATACTAGAGAGAGTTCAACAAAGGCCCATAAAGATGTTTAAGGGACTGGAGCATGTCTCATGTGAGGAAAGGTTGAGAGAGCTGGGAATGTTTAGCCTAGAAAAGAGAAGGCTCAGGAGTATAATCAATACCCAAAGGAGAACTGCAAAGTGGAGAAAGACAGGCTTTTTTTATGTGAAAACCCTTTTTTACTGTGAGGGTAATGAAGCACTGCCACAGGTTGTCCAGGGAGGTTGCAGTTTACATTCTTGGAGATATTCAAAAGCTGTCTGGACATAGCCTGAAGCTCCTGCCTTGAGGTGATCCTGCTTGAGCAGGGGGGTTGGATCAGATGACCTCCAGAGGACTCTTCCAACCTCAACCATTCTGTGATACTGTGATGCAGATATTCCTGGCTGTTGACACCACATCATGGTCATAAGAGACCTTCATTACTTTCTCAACAATTTTTCACTAGCCAACAACATATAATTGTACCTTGGTTTTGCTCTAGGAACTGCTAAGAACACTATAGAAGAATTTATCATAAGAAATAACCATGGATTGACAAAAGGGTTGTTTCAGTTTAAATTGAACATGAGGCTAAGAAAGAATAGTTATTACTGAAGTCAATTGATCTGAAGGGTTCAAGTAAATTAGAAAAGGTGAAGATGGAAATTATCCTAAATTGCAGATAAAAAAGGTGTGTGTATATATATAGACAAGACAGCCAAAACCACTGAGACTTGCAAAGACTACCAAACCAAAGAGATACAAGTTTTTTATGTTACATCCATAAAAAGTAAGGAATTAAGAAGTACAGTGTTGTACAGTGAGAATGCCGAAGTGAAATTGCTACATGAATGATCAAGGCACTTGTGCTTAATCGGGGAAGACCAGATACACCCCTTCAAATTCTAAATGTGCTAGCTATTTTATTTGAACATCTGCAAGTTAGAAGTTTTAAGGCATCTAAGAAAAACGGATATTGTGATTTTCTGCAGAGGACCTTTGGTTGTATTTAAAATTTCAATACAGAAGTTACCATAGACCCAAGGAAAGAGAAATATAGGTTTGGTTTAATGGTTTTATCAACACTATCTTGCATTCTTCTCCTAGCACCCAGTAAAGCACAACATAACAACTCAGACAACAGAGTATGTTGCAAAGAGAGGTTACAGTAAATTTCAGATTTTCCCCTATTTAGAAATATGAATGGGTATCTACCATACCAATTAGTGCAGTACAAGTTTTATCCAGACACTAGTCTGCTTTCTCCATTTTCTAAAGTAGATTTATGCAGTACAGCTTCTGCTTTTACTAGGAATGCCAACATCATCACCTAGCCAAATGTATAACTGGCTCCTCTGGATCCTGACAGAAAGTATCTGTCAGTCCTGGCAGGTTAAAATATAGCATGCTAAACAGTGTGCATCCTTATGTTTTATATGAATCCTACACATAGGTGCTGTTGAACAGAGTGTCTTTTCTGTGGCAACCTGTGTAGTCTCCTATGGCTTGTGTCCTTTCTGTGTCTGTGTCTGTGCATGTGTGGGTGTCTCTGGAATATACGTTTAATTTCACTACCAGTTGAACCTGCTAACAGGAAAGCAGCTGCCACATCCATCTAGGACTCTGGACTGGGCTCCAACAGCTGGACAGGAGGAATGCCAAGGCTCCGGATCTGTTGGAGATGGCAGCCATTTATAACCCCCCTTAAAAGAAAATTTTGATTTTGCACGAACCACCTTTGAAAACAATTTTCCTTTAACTAAGAAATAGGCATAATTTACTTATGAAAACAAAAGCAGGAATACATTATTTAATTTTAAAATAATGGTAATTTTCAGATTAAAGCATACTCTTTATTAAGATACTGTCCCACATGACATCCTGGTGTCCAAACAGATAAGATACGGATTTGACAGATGGACCACTTGGTGGATAAGTTATTGGCTGGATGGCCACACCCAGAGAGTTGTGGTCAATGGTTCAGTGTCTAAGTGAAGGCAAATGACAAGTGGTGTTCCTCAGGGGTCAGTACTGGGACCAGTGCGGTTTAACATCTTTATTGGAGACATGGACAGTGGGATTGAGAGTATCCTCAACAAGTTTGCTGACAATACCAAGCTGTGTGGTGTGGTTGAGACCCTAGAGGGAAGGGAGGCCATTCACAAAGACCTTGACAGGCTGAAGAGCTGGGCCAGTGCCAACCTCATGAAGTTCAACAAGGCCAAGTACAAGGCCCTGCACCTGGGTTGGCACAACCCCAGGCTGGGGACAGAGTTGATAGAGAGCAGTCCTGAGGAGAAGGAATTGGAGGGGGCAGGAGATGAGAAGCTCGACATGAGCCGCCCGTGTGTGCTGGAGCCCAGAGAGCAACTGCATCCTGGGCTGCATCAGGGGAAGCGTGGCCAGGGAGGTGGTTCTGCCCCTCTGGTCTGCTCTGCTGAGGCTAGACCTGAAGCACTGTGTACAGCTCTGGAGCCCTCAGCACAGGAATGACATGGAGCTGTTGGAGAGGGTCCCGAGAAGGACCACAAAGATGATCAAAGGGCTGGAGCACCTCTGCTACAAAGAGGCAGCTGAAAAGAGTTTGGGCTGTTCAGTCTGAAGAAGCAAAGGCTTTGGGGAGACCTTATAGCAGCCTTCCAGTACCTGAGGGGCCTACAGGAAAGGTGGGGAGAAACTTTTCACCAGAAAGGGCAGTGATAAGACAAGTGGTAATGTTTTTAAACTGAAAGAGGTTAAACTTAGGTTAGATATTAGGAATATACTATCCACCATGAGGGTAGTAAGGCACTGGGAGGATGTGGATGCCCCCTCCTTGAAGGTGCTCAAGGCCAGGTTGGATGAAGCTTTATGCATCCTGATCTAGTGTGAGGTGTTCCTGCTCATAGCAGGGAGGTTGGATTCTGATGATTTTAAGTTCCCTTCCAATCTTAACCATTCTATGATTCTATAATTCTGTACTTGATCTATATCTAAAATGGGACATGAGAGAATGAAAACTTCAAAATATTGATTTACAAATAAAAATGAAGTTCCTATTTGCTCTGCGAAGACAGTATTTAAATGGAGATTTAATGTTACAATTCACACATAGAAGAGATTCTTCTGTGTGTAAAGAAATGCTTAAACTTGATGCTTATAGTGACAGAGTTAAATTTAAGTACAAAATGGATTCTTGTAAACAACGAAAGACAGTCTCACTGACATCTTATTTGGAACATCACAGTTGGGGTATAAAAAACCCTTTCACTAACACAGAGAACATGCCAGGAAGAGTGCTGCTGCAAAGCAGGCAAAGAACTTAGCAGTTGCCACGAACCAGTAATAATTAATTGCCTCATCCTGTTTTGTTTAGAAATAAAGTAACATCACTTGGATAATTAATTTGTTGTAGAAAGCATTCCCCCAACTCTAAGGTCAGTAGTATTAACACGTGTTCAACATTGTCAAACATTAATCTCAGAGGTAATCTTAATTATCTCTCATGTCTTATTGGCCTGATATTAAATAAATTTTTTTCCCCAAAGGGAAATTTTCCAAAATTTCCAAATTTGTTGATAGATCTACTCCACCAGGTTTATAGACCTACTCCAAATAGGTGTAATTCAGATGGTTATACTGTATGTCTCATATTTTGCTACAGCTTGTCATCTTACACAAGAAAGGCCCTGGAACCCTCAATCTATTTATAGACATAATTTGGATATTTCTTCATCTGTTAGGGAATAGTCTGGATCCCTGTGAGTATTGTAAGTGCACTGTTTAAATAAAATGCTTCTTTACTGATGTGAAGTTTGTAGAATAAGAATAAAGCTCTATACAGAAGACATGCTTTTCAAACTCACTGAATCCTGTGGTGAACTCCTTTGGGGTAAGTGAACCATTGCCATCGGTATCCAACGTAACAAAAACTTTTTCAAGCTCTTCTAGGCTAAGAGGTAACTCAGGATATATTCTCTGAAATGACAAGACATGCAGCAACTTTACCCAGTACCCATGATGAGGAGAAGACTAGATTCTACAGAACACCTATAATACAGAATAATAGTTCATTTTGTTTCCCAGAGTGAAAATTCAAATACATCACAGAGTAAAAAAACCAAACTGAGGGAGATTTGCTTTTATGACTTCATTATTGGTCTTTATGAATCCTTTACAATAAAGCAGTGAGAACAATCTCCTTGTCCATGAGGAAGAGGCAGAATATGAGGAAGAGTCTCAGCATTCTAATGAAATGGCCTTCACAACTCGACAGAAAAACTCTACACCTAGTTCCTTCAACATCATGAGGTCAAGTAAGAGACTCTCTAAATTAGAACACTATAGAAGGTATGCTGTCCTAATTAAAACAGTTTAAAATGTGTAAATAAACAAATAGATTAAACAAAGCTAAGAATGCATCATGGCCTAAGGAGCAAAACTGCTGCTCCTGTAACGAGCTAAATGTAGTTCATTACTGTCTGCTTCTGGAATGCAGCTTGCTGACACAAAAAACCACCAAGATGATTAAAGGGCTGGAGCACCTCTGCTGTGAAGACAGGCTGAGAGAGTTCGGGCTGTTCAGCCTAGAGAAGAGAAGGCTCCAGGGAGACCTCATAGTGACCTTCCAGTACCTGAAGAGGCTACAGGAAAGATGAGAAGGGGCTTTTCATCAGAGAAGATAGTGATAGGACAAGGGGTAATGGTTTTAAACTCAGAGAGGGGAGATTTAGGTTAGATGTTAGGAAGAAATTCTTCACTCTAAGGGTGGTGAGAAACTGGAATGGGTTGCCCAGGGAGGTTGTTGATGCCCCATCCCTAGAGGTTTTTATGGCCAGGCTGGATGAGGTTTTGTGCAACCTGATATAGTGGTAGGGTACCCTGCTCATGGCAGGGGGGTTGGAACTTGGTAATCTTTAAGATCCCTTCCAACCTTAATGATTATATGATTCTACAAAAAAAGGACAAAACTCCAGCTCCACAAAATCACTTCTATTTTCCTGAGAATCTAAAAACAGGCAAAAAAGGAAAAAATGCCCCTAATTGTTTAACTGTAATTCTTTTAACATTATAGACAGATTTCCAGAAATAGGAGGAAACTGCAGTGGCAAACAACTACAGTACCAGGGTTTTCCACTGGGAGACAGTACTAAGAAGAGTAAAACTTTCCTCAGCTTGTGAAGTATAAACGAGTCAAACTCCCTGATTTATTAGTTAATACTTTAATCCTTTCCCTGAACTCCTATTGCATAAGCAACATATTAAAACTGCAAGCTAATAGGTTCATGAAGTTCATCAAAACAGAAAGTGCTTATCTGTTCCATGCTAAGGAAGGGATTTAGGGCCAAAGAAAGTATCTCCTGCAATCCAAGAACAATAGAAACCACTAGTAAATATAAAAGGCCATAGAGCTGATGTCAGAATTGGCTGAGTGCATTAACCAGGACTACTCTGGCTGCAACCAAGAGTTTATGGTATATGTTATAAACCTGTATGAGTTGAAGGGAAGAGCAGTAAAAGGAATTCCAAGGTGATCTTGAGAAAGGAAAGCAATAGAGCTTCTAAAGCATAGAACTATCTGGAATCCTAAGGGATTTCTGAGAAGGATTAATTGTGCACTGCTGCCTGCTTCCAAAAAACTAAAAAACCTTTATGTACCTTAAGAAACTAAGAAACCTTATGCCTAAATAACTCATTTTATCAGCAAAACGCCTGACTTATTACCAGTTTCTCACTTAATCACATCCATTGTTATGGTTTAGGCCCAGCCAAAACCAAAGAACTAGGTGGTCCCTCACTCACCCTTCCCCCCAACTGGAGAGAAAAGCAGTACATACTAATTTTGTGGTAGGAAACACCACAACTACCTGCATTTTCTTGAAGGAAAAAAGAAAATACGGTATTTTGAACAATGTAACAATATTTTGCTCCACTAAATTCCCCAAGGATAATCTACTGACTTTGGTGAACTGAGGTAACACCATTGTTACTAAGATTAAGACAATTTTCCCAGCCTCTTGTTTCTACCAAAAAAAAACCCAACAAACTTTAATATTTGTTTTGTTTTTTTTTTACTTGGAAGATAGGATCATTGTTGGTCTCATAAGTGTGTTTGTGTTTATTTGCTCATTTTGGGCTTACTGTAAAAAATACATACATCTTTTCACTATAAAGCTCTTAAAAATTTAAAAACAAACCAACAAACCCCCTCTAAAACATACCCTAAGATACCACTGGAGCTTTAAGAGAAATTGCCACCCTGTGTGCTCTGTGCTTTCCCAATGTCTGTGCTGACTTACATGCAAATAACAAGCTTTTACACTGCTAAATGAAAAGACAGGTAAAATAGCTAAGAGTAAGATCTGAACCCATTTTTGCTATATTGATTAAAGCAAAACATTTTGCCTTTATAACCTCAAGGCCCAAAGTGCAAAGATATGTTTTCAAGTCTCAAGTAGAATATGCCTTCTAGCAATTTCCGAAAACCTCTTGTCTATTTGAGGACATTTGATATTTTAAAGTTGAATGAAAATTTCTGAACAATCAGGATTAACATAATCTCAAAATAAAACACATTATATAATCAGGGAAGGGTAAATCTTTAATATAATTACTATACTACAATTTTTGGAAAGACTATACAATTATAATCTATTAAATTGTTTATGGGTCTGGGTCTACCCAAATCAACATATTTGTTTGCATTTGGTTACTTTAATTATATTATTTATACTATATAATAAACATTATATAATAAATAAAATACTATAGATTATATATATACAACAAGCATCTGTACTCCCATCTTTTTTCAACTTTGCAGAATTAGCACAGGTCATCACAAAAGTCAGCAACACAAAACTGCACAGAAAGCTCTTGAGAGCTAGTAATCTGAGCAATTTACTATGAGATTTTAATTTTTCCAACATAGTTAAGTATTTCTCTTGCATTTTCCTGGAGAGACATCTTTGTTCTGAGGATAGGAAAGGTTTCTACGTTTTATATTAGATGCTTCTGTTGGTAGTAGTTTGCACTGAATTTCCTTTGTCACCACTCCCCAGTTCTACTTCATCCTTAAATACTGAAGTAGAAATGGATCAGCACAATGAAATTATGTCAGGCATAGGCATGTCAAGCTTGAGTACATTTTAGTTTTCTGCCACATACTGGTTCAAACTATCTTAGGATTTCTGCAATATGCACTCAATTCCATTTTCAAAAGATTTTATAAATAGCTGCCTTTTTTCATCGACATTGTCAGCGAATCTGATTTTGGCTCCTCAAACAATTTAAGAACAATTTGGTAAGATTACTGTGAACACTGAATAACGCTAAAATACCATTCCTCTAGACTTCCTACAGATATATACAATGCAGCTGAATGTTTGCCATTGTCCAGCAGGTGAAACCGAAGTGAAAGACTTTATTTACACAATTCTGTTGAAAAAACCCAGAAAGAACTGTGAACTGAACACATTCATAATGCTGTGGCAAATTGTGAAGTAATTAATTTACTGGAGTTTCTGCTTTCGCAATGAGAGTGGAATTAACTCCTGGGGCATTTTTTTGAACTCCACTTTGATTTTCCACGTTTTTGTTGCTTTGTCTGTGGAAACAAATGTAAGCATTATGTAAGGCTTCAAAGAGAATGTGTAAATCTTACATATCTCTTTCAAGTTATCAGGAGGGTGTTAAAATTTTAAACTCTAAATTAATCAGTCTCAACTCATTAAGGGCATTAGGAGCTTCTGTCATTGTGCATTTCACATTACCAATTTTGTTTTACCTGCATGTCTTGACAAGTGATGAAGCCTTTGCCTTCCCGATCACAAATCTGGAAGAACTCTTGTGCTTTTTCCAACACAGCTAGTCCTGGGTCTTGTTCTCCAGTCTTGCTGCTCTCCACATCTCCCAGTGGTACGGGACTGGCACAGTCTTGTTGTATTCTGTCCATTGTCACAATCTTTGCACAAGGATATTTTGGGATGCTGCTGTCCCATTTACTCACAAACTCTGACCTGAAACATGCATATGGCAGATAAGACCAAATCAGATTAATCTCTTAGCAAGCATCTCTTTAATTAGGCACTATAGCATAGAAGAAGAAAAAGCTTTATGAAAACACCTATCGTTGATGGGCTGCACTAGAGACAAGGCAGAATGTGAAGAAAGAAGACAAAACTAGCTCTGAGAAGAAATCTAAAAGCAAAATTAGCCAGTTCAAATAGAAATACAGCCAATCAATTAATGTGAGTAATAAAACACAAGAAATATAGGTAAATGAAAAAATAATTATAAGTCACTGTAAGTATTCAATTGGTATGCTTTTGACTCTGATCATCCTAACACCACATATCACAATTTACACCCACTGCTTTGGAATACAGTTTGTATGATAGCTATAGAATGGAAGGTGATTGATGACTGATGGAACCTGATAGATCTTGGTGTTTAAATCAACTAAGTAAAATCAAGTGAAAGATAAGGGATTATGGAATTCTGAAACATTTCCTAAGATTAATCTTAATTACTGAGGGGTTTTACTTTTGCCTGTGAAGGAGAACTAATTGCTAGAGAACTTGGTGGGAAGACTTTGTAAGTAAATCACATACTAAAGGCCCTCTGTGGAAATTTGTATTATACGCCCTCCATGACAATAGTGGTGTACATTCATGTTTGGCTACATTTTTATCTTACATTCATTCTAGGAGGTCAGATTTAAGTAGCTTTCCCCCTCCAATCTTGTACAATTGTACAAAAGGAGCAGGCTTCCCAAAAGCCTATGGGCTCAAAGGCACTCATGGGTTATTATGCCTCACATAATGCTTGCAAGACTCCTTGTATGAACTTAACTCATCATAATGTATGTAAACTAAGTAGAGAAATAGGCTATTTAACTGAGGTACTGCATATTTGTAACAGGTTAAAGCATGTACAGCTACCAGGGCTCAGAAGACATGAAACAACTTGACTTTGTATCTGCATCATGTATTTGTATTTCTGATTTTCTAAAAAGGTCTACCTAAAGGAGCCATAAATTCATCCAATACTTTTTAGCAGACAGAATTATTTTGAGAGGCATTTGACTATTACAAAGGAACATACCCTGATTCTTATCCAGCATGACTGGCACTATCTGGAACAACTCCAACAGAGGCTAGCAAGATTTATTTCAATCTGAAATCACAGAATCAAAGAATGATCATACAGTCCAGCCACCCTGCAGTGAGCAGGGACCTTTTTAACTAGATCAGGTTGCTCAGAGGCCCATGAAGCCTGACGTTGAATGTCTCCAGGGATCTGGACATGCTGGACTGTTTTACAGTGGGGTGAGGTATTCCTTGGATGGCTCAAATGGGGAGACACCAGCACAAAAAATAAGCAAAGCACATGCAATTTACTAAGCCACCTCTCTGGGCAACCTGTTCCAGTGCTTCACTACCCTCATAGTAAAGAACTTCTTCCTAATATCCAATCTAAATCTATCCCGCTATAGTTTAAGGCCATTACCTCTCATTCTATCACTGCATGCCCTTATACACAGCCCCTCCCCAGCTTTCCTGTAGCTTTTCATGTACTGAAAAGCCACTATGCAGTTTCCCCTGAGCATCCTCCTCTCCAGGCTAAACAACCCCAGCTCTCAAGTCTGTCTTCATAGGGTGAATGCTGTCTTCAGACAAGCTTTGGCATTGCATGGGTGTTGACACAGAATCTGAGGAAATGAGAACTTTAGTGTGTCTATTCAACTTCATAAGGAGAAAAGGCTCTAGTCACATGAAGAGAGCAACTCAGACAAAGTCTACTTCATTTTATGCTTAAATTCAAACCTGGCAGGATTAAAAAATACCAAAAATCAGTGAGACAAGTACAGCCTAAAGATGGTCTTGACAAGATCTGTTCCAGACTCCAAGTTGTAGGTAATACATTTTTTTTTCTTTTTCATTTCTCATAATTTCTCAAAAGATGACAACAGCCAAGCTAACTGTGCTAGTAAGTGCTGCTACCCCTGTGGTTTCTGCACAGACTCCTGCAAGAAAAAAAGAAAAATTGAGCAAATCATATTGCATGTAAAATAATTGGAAATATGAAAAAATATTTCAAATGGTGGGGAAAAAGGGCACTATATACAGTTTGAAAAAGTTATTCATATTTAGCAAACAGTTCAGATATGATTCAGAAAAAATCACCATACTTTCTAAATAGTTCCATATCACAAAATGAAACTATCTGCATCATAGGAGCCCCACCTTTCATACACATCATAAAAACTTGCTACACTGCAAGTGCCTTAAATACAGCAGAGAATTAAATTAGAGCATATACGAAAATTCTTAATCCTTATGGCAGCTTCCAAAGCTGGTACAGTTAATCTTGGTTCCCACAGTGACCTGATACTTTGCAAATGCTGGTAAATAACATGAAAGATTAAAGCTGCAATTTGCCCCACATTACTGTATCAGCAAAGTAATTATTCCAAGGCCAGTTTTAAATAACATAGGTAGTTCCAGTCACTCATCCACCCCTTTAGAAATCCACCCCTTTAGATTAAAAATTCAGGAAGACTGCTCTTTTCTTTTAAGACCTTTGATTTCCATTCTTCTAGGTACAAACCACTATTCAAAATAGGTTGTATCATAAGCTGATGCAAAAAAGATAGCTCCAAATAATATTAAAAAAGGATGTGGGTTTAATGAGGTTTTTACAGATCATGAGGCATTTTTGGACTGGTGTGCAAAAGGAAGCTCATTGTTAGTATTTCAGAGGACATTTTCAGCATGATTTTGCAGTCATGTGTATTGTGAATCACCAAACTCTAGAGGTACAGAGAGGACTGCTGATGCAAAGATTTCACAGGTCATGACTTGTGACAACCTCATTCTCCCTAACTGTGATATCTAAAAACCTCCTTAGCTGTTTTCCCTTCCTTCATGCCTCTGAGTTTTAGATTTCAGTAAAATTATTTTTTTAACTTCTGTCTATAGGCATGAACTTTCTGCAGCATACTTCAAAACACAAATAGTCAGCAGAAGAATGTAGTAAGCTTTCTTAATACTGAGATCACCATGGACTTATACAAAATAGTCTTACGAGATATAACATTTATGTTTTACAAACACTGGAAAATAAAAACTAGATTGCATACTTTTGCTCCAAGAAATACATATTCCTACAACCAAATCATCATTGTTAAAGTAACATGCAGCTGTTCTGCAGTGTGCCTGACACATAAACAAGGACCTCTTCAGAACTAACTTAGTCTCAGAGTTAGTTACGTTTTATCATTATGTTGAAAAGCTTTTAAAGCTGCTAAAATGTACCACCAGAATTATTTTAAGTTAGCACAAGCCTCCTGAAATAAGTCACTCTGTTCCCTATTCCTGTACCTTGCCTTTGGACAAGTGTCATCCAGTAAGACAGTGAACCCTGCTGTAGAATCCTTTAAATTTAATCTCGAAAATTATAGTTTATTTAACTCAATTAAGGCCAAGTGGTCCATCAAAGAACAATCAAGAACCAAAAAAAGCAGGATATAGAGAGAATGACAGATGTATGGGACTGCAAAGACCAAAGAGAGTACAATAACCATCCTCAAGTACACAGAAGTTTGCTAGACACAGGATTGGAGAAGAACACTCCCTATGTACATAATGCAATATACAAGAAGTAACACATGAAAAAAAATCCAATGATAAAAAAGTTGAGCCCTGAACACTGACAGCAAAGGTCGTGGCATCATGGAAGAACAGACCACACACGCAGATCTGTGAATAATGGCATGGGTGATAGTACCTTGAGAAAGATTAATAGATCAGCAGACTTCAATGTTACTGTCAGACATATTTTGAAGACTTCATGAGAGTTCAGGGTAAAAACTCAGGTCTCACACTTAAAACAACTAACAGAGATACAAGGTTGTGCACCCCAAAATAAAAAAATCCATATTTTTTTCCTCTACTGTGACTAAGACAATTATCCTTTAAGCTCTCATGAAAGCATTATAAAGGCTGACCTAATCACATGAACACCTGACTGAACTAGATTAAAATTGGGACTTTCAAACCTCCAATTTTGACTTATCAAGTAAAAACACGCAAGTCTTGTGCATTTGGTTCAGAAAAGCACTTAAACGTGTCCAAAAAGCCTCTTTTTTTCCACATAGTTTGAATTTACAGGCTAGGTAACTTCTCTCATGATCTCTCATGATTCTTCATCTTATAGAATTGTTTTGGTTGGAAAAGACCTTTAAGATCGTGAGGACCAGCTGTTAACCCAGCACACTGCCAGGTACACCACTGAACCACGTCCCTACCTAAGCACCACATATACATGTCTTTAAAATACCCCCAGGGATGTTGAGTCGACCACTTCTGGAGGTAGCCTGTTCCAGTGCCTTACAACCCTTTCAGTAATTTTTTTTTTTCCTAATATCCAAGCTTAACCTCCCTTGGCACAAGTTGGGGCCATTTCCTCTTGTCCAGTCACTCGCTACTTGGAAGAACCAACACCTGCCTTGCTACAAACTCCTTTCAGGTACTTGTAGAGAGCTATAAGGTCTCCTCTGAGCCTTCTTTTCTCCAGGCTAAATAATCCCAGTTCCCTCAGATGCTCCTTGTAAAACTTGTGCTCTAGACCTTTCACCAGCTTTGTTCCCCTTCTTTGGTCCTGCTCCAGCACCTCAATGTCCTTCTTGTAGTGAGGGGCCCAAAACTGAACACAAGGTGTGGCCTCACCAGTGCTGAGTACAGTGGGACAATCACTTGCCTACTCCTGCTGGCCACGCTATTTCTGATACAAGCCAGGATGCTGTTGGTCTTCTTGGTCACCTGGGCACACTGCTGGCTCATGTTCAGCTGGCTGTCGACCAACAGCCCCAGGTCCTTTTCCACTGGGCAACTTTCCAGCCACTCTTCCCCAAGCCTTTAGACTTACATAAGGTTTTGTGACCTGACACTT